GTTCCCGCTACGCCCCCTCCTGATCTCGGCAGCTGCGCCTGGCCGTCCGGACAGTCCCGGGGCCCTCCCTCTTCCACGCCGGCGGCTGGGCGACGGCCACCAGGGCCCCGGGCGGGACAGACCCGAGAGGAAGCAGGTGTCCTTTGGGCATCAGCATCCTGATTCTCGGCCGGGCTGTGCAGAGGCCAGGTTGGCCAGGGCGCCCTCTGCAGGGCGGACGGAGCCGCAGCAGTGCGTGGCGGGGGGCCCGGAGGTCGTCTTCTGTATGTCTCGTTTCTTCTTTCAGAAAGATTGAAAAGTTGACAGCCGGGCTCCCGCCGGAGGGCCAGCCGGCACGGCAGTGTGATCAAGGCTCTTTGTGACCCTGGAGACACTTAACTGCCAAGGGGAGGCTGGAGGGGACAGCCAGCCGTCAAAGGGCTCTGGGGCTCAGCCCGGTCCTGGGGTTGGGGAGGGGGCGTGGTTCTGGAGGAGGGAGGGAGCCAGCGTGCTGGGGAGGGGGCTTCAGGAGCGGGCAGGAAGCTCTGTCGCTTTCTCCCAGCCAGCTGGTTGCAGACGGCGAGAGCCGCAGGGTCCTCTGGCGCAGGTAGCGGCCCCACTGCTCACCTTCCTTCGGGCCCCAGAGCACCTGAGCTACACCAGGGGCTCAGCCCCTGTGGGCTGGCAGAGGCAGCGCCCTCAGCTCTGAACTGCGGAAGACACCAGAACCTGGGGGACCGCTCCCCCAAACCTGACTGCCCCTGAGTTTGCCCAGGAAATCAGGAGCGGGGTTGGATGACTGAGCCTGTTACTGATTTGGAAGAATCAACGTGACAGATGTAATGCACAGCTGCGGGCGGATGCATGCGGAATCAGTCAGTTCAGGCTTTGGTAACTGTGGGGGGCCCCTGCGAGAGCGAAGGAAGGGTCCCCACGGGGAGAAGGGGTTACAGACCAGGCGACAGCTGACCTGGGCTTCCTAGAAGGAGGCGCTCAGCCGGGGAAAGGGGGACACCAGGGCAGTGTCCACTGGTGAGCAGACAGGTGTGCTCAGAGCTTCATCTGGCGGCCGGGTCGCACGCCATCCGGGACCGTCTGGGTACACGGGAAGCTGGCACGTGAGCTACGGGGTGTGGGCTGCTGGCAAAAAGGGAGTCGGAGAAGGCAGATAAAACCCCACCACAGAGGAAGCAAGAGACGAACCCGCTGGAACACTCGCCGGCCGCCCCACCCGCAGGTCACGTGGCCGCAGCACCTGCTCCGTGCACACTTCCTGAAGGTGCCTAAAAGCCCTGCCTTCCCATCACCAGGGGTGTGAACGCGGAGAGGCCCAGGGAGTTCACACATGCTGAGCACGGTCATCGGGACCGTGTTCCTGAAAGCTAACGACTTCCACACGTCCCTCGTACCCCATAATATCAGAAACAACAGGCCGATAGTATTTATTTATGACCCGTGTTCTGCTGGGCGCCTGGAGAACCTGCAAGCACAATCCACTCACTCACTTTACAATTTAGAGCCGACGTGTGGCAAATAAATTGCAGTCTGCGCTGGGCCAGAAAGCAGGCCCGTGAGTTAGGCCGCACCCAGCCCCATCTGGGGGACCCCGCTTTCCCGTGTCAAAAATGCAAGCAGTAGGACATCCTGGGAGTAAAGCCGATTGAGCTCCGCGGCAACCCCCTCATGCTTATTCCCAGCACAAAGAAACGATAAATAAAACAAGAGAAAATGCTCAGAAAAGCAGAAACCAGAAACGAATCCAGAGGAAGGTGCTCCGCGCCGATGCTGCTGACGTAGGCCAGGAGCGGGCACGGGGGCCGACGTGGGCCCTGCGGGTGACAGTGTGAAATTTTAACACGCCCCAGTGAGGTGGCCGGGCCTGGAGCCTGTGCGAGGTGGGGCCTGGTAGAGAGGTGCCAAGTGAATCCAGGGCCTAGAAACCACCCAGCCTCCCGTGCAGGAGACCCGGAACCCCAAACCATGGCCCAGGGAGCGCGGCTTCTGTTTCGGTTCTGGGTGGGGGGGCATTTGTATGTTTAAAAACCCAAACGTGTTTGGGCTTCGGCGTGGAGTCCAAATGTCCAGCTCCCTCTGGCGGAGGCCGGCCTTACCTACACGTCCGTGGGATCCAAAAATGCTACCACCCGCGGGAAAACGAATCCCAGCGGAAAAGCACAACACACTCAAGGGAACAAACATCAGTCCCACGGCCACGAGGAAGAATCGGCAGGAGACTCCGAGCTCACAGTTTGAGAGAACAGGAGAAGCTGAAAATCAAGACCCGGTATGTTTAAAGTGTCACGTTTTTGGTCGTGACAAGTAATGTTGGCTGCAGCCCCAGCCTCAGGTAGCGGAAGTTGGGGACACAGTCGTCCTGTGTTGGCCCTGGGGAGAAGGCAGAGCTGAGCGGCGTCGGGTCGTGAAAGCAGGAATCGGCAGCATGGGGACAGAACAAAACACCAGGAAAGAGAAACAAACAGAAAATAAATAGGAAAAAAAGAAAAAAAGCTATCGCAATTAAAACGGGACACGGTCAGCCAGCGCGTGGAAGGGCCGAGGAGATGGTTCTGGAAGAAAGGGTGGCAGACGCGACCCAGGGAACGGCGCAGGTGACAGCGTGAGGCCGTCGTGAGCGACGGAGCTGTGGCTCTTCCCGAGCGCACCTTCCAGGGGGACGTGTGCGTTTCCAGCGGATGCTGTGATGCGCCCCAGGCGCCCGAGGCTGCGATGGATGGCCCCACTGTCCTGGGTGTCCCTGCGTGTGTGTGTTTCTGCTGAGAAAAACATTTAAATTGACGAACAGAATGGATAGGTCACCCCGTGTGATGTGAGGGATGCTCATTCGCTCAGCCGAAGCCCCGCCCCGCCGCCCCAGTGGCTGTCCTGCCCCCCGGGGGCCGGCCCGGCGCTCATGCCTTGGACCGCCGTGACCCGCCGGCTCCCCGCGGCCAGTTTGCTGGGTCACCCTCGGAGCTTGGCGGCCTGCCATGATCACGTGAGCGGATTCCTTACGCTTAGTCTCCTCACGTATATATTTATTACAAGGGATCCGCTCACGCGATTATGGATATGTATAAAAATACGTGGGTACTTACACGTAAGCCGTAGAGATCAGATATGCAGCTTACACGATTATGTATCTGTAGAAATAAGGACATGAGCATCGGTAAGGATCTGTATGTAGATACGGCTATGGACAGAGGTGTGCACATCTGTCGCTTCTGCTTTGATGAAGATCCCTTCTGGGTCCTGGAATTCGCAGATGTGCGTCTTCAGTAGACACCGTCACTTTGCTAACGCATTTGTTCCGGTGACACGGACCATCCAGTCACCGCAACCTCGCCCACCTGTCTCCGATTTAACTTCAGACATGTGTGCTTGTGGGCAATTTGATCTCCCTGTGGCTTTTAATTTGCATTTCCTTGATGACTAAGGAAGTTTCTATGCTATTAAAACATAATTTAAAATTTTATTTTATAATTATTGCACGGATAGAAATACATTTGACATTTGCATATTGGGCAGCTTTTCCTCTGGTTATTGGCATGTGGAATATCCTTTTCTTGTGAAATGATTTTCCAGATTTTTGCCCATTTTTTTCCTCTTGGATCGTCTGTCTTTTTCTCAGTTGTTTGTGGGAATCCACGCGGGTTTGAGCTGGTGGCTCGTCCTGCCACCAACATCACACTCTCTTCACTGCTATAATACGAAAATGGGCCTTTGACTCGGTAGTGTGAATTTTCTGCACCTGTTTATATTTCTTCAAAATCGTCTCGTACATTCATCATCGTCTTAATGTGATTACGATTCGTTTTATAATTTGTGGGGAATTCTTTGGAATTTTTAGACCAACCTGGGGAGCATCTCTGTCTTCACCATACTGAGTTCCCTAATCTCTGAATGTGGTGTTTTCTTCCATTTCTTTAGGTCTCCTCTAATTTTTCTCAATAATAGTTAAAAAATTTTACCGTAGATATTCTGGGAAACTTTCATAAGAATTATTCGCAGACAATCGATGTTTTTATGCTATTAAAACGTAGTTTTAAATTTCATTTTATAATTATTGCATGGAGAGAAATACATTTGACATTTGCATATTGGGCTTATATCCAGTGAAATTCTAAACCCACTGTTTAATTCTAGTAGTTTTTCTATAGTTTTTATTTTATTATTATTATTATTTTTTTTTTTTAGGCAAGGCAACCCTTGGTTGACCTCACAGATTGCAAGGACCTCGTCAGCTTACAATCCCTTATTCTTCTTATTTTTTACGCCTACAGCACCTGGTCTTCCTAGGTGGTCTCCCATCCAAGTACTCATCAGGCCCGACCCTGCTTAGCTTCCGAGATCAGACGGGATCGGGCTCGTTCAGGGCGGCGTGGCCAAAGACTCCACAGAGATTTTTAAATGTCATAACATCTGCCAACTCAAACCCTTTTAAACTTTCCTTTCCGATCCTGATTCCTTCATGTCTTCTTCCCGCCCCGGTTCACTAGCGAGGGCCATCAAACCCAGTATTTCACGGGAGCGACAGCATGGAGTTGGTCTCATCCTCATCCCAGGCGGACGGGCTTCGGTAAGTCACCGCCGCATTCGCCGCCGTCCAGGTGTCAGAAGGGTCTCGGTTTGGGGTGGCGGCTGACACCCCTGGCTCCGGTCTCTGCCTCTGTCACCGTGCTGCTCACCCTGGGCGTCAGCGTCCACATTTCTGTCTTCTCGTAAGGACACTGGGCGTTTTCGATTAGGGTCCACCCGACTGTTCTCGTCTGTGTCACATCTGTCACAACCCTATTTTTTAAATAAGGTCTCATCCACAGGTTCTGGGGTTTAGGACTTTAACATGTCTTTTTGGGGAACAGAATTCAACCCACGACAGCCGCGAGGGAAGGTGTCAGCTATAGTTTTGGGGTTCGTTTTATTTCGTTTCTCTCTTTCGTGCATCATTCTTTATGCAAGAAAGAAATTTCCTTCTATTCTTACTCGGATAAGAATTTTTAAAATAACGAACGTGTAGAGAATAATGATTTTAGCATCTCTGAATGATTTCAGCATCTTTTAGCATCTCACCGTTTTGGATTACACAGACTTTTCATTGTTAAGTTAGCCCTGTGCAAAGGCCCACATCACCGATCGGACTTACGTGACGTTCACGGCGTATCCAGCGCCGGTTTTACTAACGATTAGTAAAAATGCAAAGCAAGAGCGGGGGTCCCTCCTACGCCAATATCTGGGAGACCCTGACTGCTTCACGTCCAGCTCAGAGCGAACTCTGCCTCGGGGCGATGATGGCTCATGCACAGGGGACAAGTTGGCCCAGGAAAACAGATGGATTTGATTAGGGCTCGGCGTTGACTTCCTGCAGCTCAGGGCGCTCTGTCTGGCTTTGTGACTGACTTCTAGTGTTCAGGGCAGACGCAGCTCTACACTGCAGACTGCAGCGAACATTACAGACAAACAGGTCTGTCAGACAAGAGGCCTCCTGGATCAGTAAGCGGCATCCAGCAACCCCTGCTGGACCCTCATTGGCTTAGAGCTGGCGCGCACCATCTGCTGTTCATTGCAAGGAGTTCTGTCTCAGAAGGCTTTTCCAGAAGCAGGAGAGTATGGTATATAGACACTGTTAGCCTGTTCCTTCGTACCTTCTAGTCCCGAAAAACAACCCGCTTGGTCTTAGTTATTATTTCTAAACTTACCGTTGAATTCGTTTAGTGAAGGTTTTCTTTAGAACTTTGCACCTGCGTTTGTCAAAGGCACGTACCTGAGACTTTCTGCTTTTAGTAGTAAGCTCGTGCATTTTGGTATGCAGGGTATGCTGGCCTCATAAAACGAGTCGGAAATTTCCCCCCACTTTCTGTATTGTACAAAGGTTTGTTCAAGCTCGGTCTTATTTCCTCCCCAAATCATCAGAAACATTAGCTGGTAAAGCTGTCTAATTCGGTGCCTCCTTTCAGGAAGATGTCATCGTGTCACTTGTCACGGAAGCATTACGTACAAAAGAAAGCGTTGTAAGTTGGTGGAAATCGCATCGAGATCAAGAAAAAGGATATTGCCAGCATCCTGAGAAACCTCTGCTTATTTTTATGATGCCATTATGCTAATTAATTTCTTTAGTGACCATACGTTCCAGTATTGCTACTGTGTGGGTGAGGGTTGACTTCGTCAGCTTTTACAATTCCTTATGTGTTTTAAAAGTTTGTTTTGCAGGTCTCTCTCTCTCTCTCTCTCTCTCTGTCTCTCTCTTCTCTCTCTCTCTCTCTCTCTCTCTCTCTCTCTCTCTCCCTCCTTCCCTCCCTCCCTATATATAACAATTTTGCAATTGCCAATACCCACGTCCTTCAAATCCTTGAAAGCCAAAACTGCGTTTTACTTATCGAGCCCCACGTTTCTGCATGAAACCGGGGCCTTTGCGTGTGCCCTTCCAAGGGCCGCAGAAGGCCAGGCCCGGCCGGGGTCCGCCCGCTGGGCCCGTGGTCCCCAGAGATTGCGGGGAGCCCCTTCTCCCAACTCCTTCCCAAGCAGCGGGGCTGCGGGCAGCTCCGCGTCTTACGCACTGAGACGGCTCACTTCGCGTTGTGTCTGGAGCCGGAGGCTTCCGTTGGCTCCTCAGCTTCTGCTTGTCTACATTTCTCGACCACAGAGCTAGTTTTCCCATCTTGCAGCCTAGAGAGTCACACGACGCGAGGCTTTGATTCCCACGATCGGAGAAGAGGAAGACCCCAGAACGTGATCTTGCGATGCTGACTCGAAGTCGAGGGTCCATATTTGCCCTATCGAATCAGTGAGGGTTAAGAATTCTGATGAAGTCCAAACTCTGGAGGGTTTAAAAAAAGACACAGCCCCATAGGACTGGTGCTGGGATGGACATGATCGTGTAGGAATCTCACTCAGAGTTTAAATTACCACGCTATTTAATACCACCACGTCATAGTTTATGCCAGAGGATACAGCGTGCCATACACATATTTACAATATGCGTTACAGTATCGTTTACACTGATGACAGATACAAACTCCCTAAAAGCCATCATTAACAAACAGGCTGAATGAAGGATGGTCTAGCCACAGACTAGATCAGCTTCCAGAACTGTCTAGCCAAATGAGGTCACATTACAGCGACTCAGAACATCTTTACTATGCAGCCTTAAAAAGAATAGGATGGCTACGCGCTTGCAGAAACTATGAAGAAGCTGCACGGTAAACACGTTACGAGTCGCTGTAATGTGACCTCATTCGGTTAGACAGTTCTGGAAGCCGGTCAGGTAGCTGTCAGCATTAATCTAGAAGATGTGCTACATTTTTACAATGGAGCACGACTCAGCTGTAAGAAGAGAGGAAACACCGCCATTTGCAACGATGCGGATGGATCTGGAGATCGTCACGCTAAGCAAAATCAGCCAGATGGGAAAAGTCAAGAACCATATGATTTCACTCACACGTGGGATATAAAACTGAAAGCAACAAACAAACAAGACAAACAAAAACCTAGACACAGACAACAGTATGAGGTTGAAAAAGGTAAAGGGGGTTTAATATATGGAGGGTAAAGGGGGGTCACATAGATGGTGACGGAAGGAGATGTGACTTTGGGTGGTGATCACACAATGCGATAGGCAGTTGATGTATCATGGAATCGTACGTTTGAAACCTATATGATTTTATTAACTCATGTCATCCCGATACATTGAATAAAATTAAAAAATAACCTCGTGGTCGTTAGAAACGTATCGTTTGTACCCTTTCATACCGTTCGTGGTTTTGTTGGCGTGCCCTTAATTGGGCTTATATTTGTCTACACTGGCCCTTATTCCTGGTGGGAATGTAAAATGATGCAGCTACTGCAGAAAACGGTTTGGCCGTTTCTTATAAAGCCAAATATATGATGACCACGTGATCCAGCAGCTGCGTTTATCCCAGAGACATGAACACTCGTGTTCACACATTTATAGTAACTTTATTTTTAATAGCCCCAATCCTTCAGTGGGTAAACGATTAGATAAACTCTGGTAAATCCCTCTCGGGGACAGCTACTCGGCGGTAATAAGGGACAGATGCCCAGGGAACTGGGTAGACCTCGGAGGAATTACGCCGAGTTTTAAAAAGCCGATCCCAACAGCCTGCATCCTATATTGTTCCATTTAAAACTCCTGTATCCTTTAAATAGCCAAATCGTAGACACGGCGACCTGATTAGTGGGTGGTGGGTGGGGTGGTTGGGGATGGGTGGAGGATGGGGGACAGGTGGGTGTGGTTATAAAGGCGCCTCTCGAATGACCCCGGTGGCGGAGGACCTGTCCTGTGTCTGGGCCATGGTGGTGGCCGCGTGACACTCACACGTGAGAAGATTGTGCAGGACCGAAGACACAGGTGCATAAGTATGCACAGACGCGTAAACTCGGCGAGACTTGAACACGGCGGGCGGGCTGTACCAACGTCTGCGATGTCGTTTGTAGTCTGTCGAGATGCTACCTTTGGGGCAAACGGGTGATGGGTACCCAGGGTCTCTCTATATTATTTCTTGCAACTGCATGTGAGTATACTACTATCTCAAAATAAAAAGTTTAATTAGGAGAAAAGTCCCTAATAGAGTGGTCCTCTTTGTCCGCACAGACCTCACGAATTTTTTGGTTGTTATTCTAAATATTTTACAGGTTTTGATCCTATTGTGAGTTAAACTTACCGTCTATTATGTTTTAAAAATAGTTATTACTGCTTTAAAAGAATGAAATTCGTTTAGATCTGCTGATCTTCTACCTGGCGGTTTTGCTACGTTCTCATCTTTGTTCTTACAGACTGTCTGTCGAGTCTCTTTTCCTATGAGTTTTCCGTGTAAACGGGCACTGAACTTTTTAAAATGTTTTTTAATAATACATCGAGATGATCATGTCGTCTTCTTACTGCGTTCACGTAGCAGATCGCACTGGTGAGTTTTCCGGTGACGAAATAATCTGATGTCGAACCTTTCCTGATAGCTCCGTTGCCTTTCTGGGATAAAGTCTAGGTAATCATTTCCTTCTGTTAATTTAAAAATACACCACTGAGTTTAATTAGCTAACTTCCCCCTTCTCGTTTCTGAACGTGTGTCCACCCGTGAAATCATTCTGCCATTTTCTTTGTAATTTGCTGACTCTGTCACGGTCCCAGGGTTATTAAGTGCCTTCTTCCGAGGAGTCTAGAAGGTCACATGCGAGTTCTGTGTCTCCAGCAGACCACGGCGGGTAGGAGGTACGCGTTCCTTCAGAGTTTGCCTGTGTCACACCGTCACGGTCTGTAAGGGAGAATTTGGTCACTGTTGCAATATTTCTTACTGGTTTTTACCCTTTTTCTTTCTTCTGCCACCGAATTTAGTACCTTTGTTTTTTATCAGAAAATGTCTCACTTCGTCTAGGTTTTCATATTTAGTCCTGGGTAGTTGTTCTCATGAGACCGATCGACGGGCTTGCATAAAAACCTGGGTTGAAAATGATTTTTCTTTAGGGAGGCAAAGGCAGTGTTTGGAGTCTGAGGCGATTTTCATGACTCGTCTTTTGTATCCACCGTCTTTCTGTCCACCTGGTCGTCACCGTCCCATGTCGCTCTGAGGTACTGGCGGTGAGTATCTCGGGGTTCCCTTGCATTCACGGCATCGGGTCCTGAGGGGGACCTTTCAATCCAGAGATTCACGCCCTCGAATTCCGAGATATCTAGGATTATTGCATCGTAATTTGTCTTCTTTTCCTCGCCCGTTCTCATTTTCCAGAACGCTTCATCGTTTGCACGCCGTTGCCAATAATTCCCAGGTCGATCTTTTCCCCTTACACGCCACTGGTTTGTGGTTTTGTGCTACGAACTTGAAAAATAACTCCGCTTTATCTTCCAGCTCATCTACTGAATACGTTGGTTTTCCCATCGTGTCTCTATTTATTTATCTATCTATCTATCTATCTATCTATCTATTTATTATTTTGTGTAATTTTTAAATTTTTTATTATTATTATCTTTTTCTTTTTAGGCGAGGCAACCCTTGGCTGACCTCACAGATTGCAAGGACCTTGTCAGCGTACAATCCCTTATTTTTTTATTTTTCATGCCGACAGCACCTGATCTTCCTAGGTGGTCTCCCATCCGAGTACTCACCAGGCCCGACCCTGCTTAGCTTCCGAGATCCGACGGGACCACGCGGGCGGCGTGGCCGGAGACCCATCGCAGTTTTAATTTCCAAGAATTTTTGCTCATCGCGTCCTCTTTAAAAGCACCCTGTGTCCACTCCGCGGATACCGCACCCTCTGTTACTGGCCTCGCTCCCCACAGGCGCTTAGTTAGCTTCCTCTGGGTGTTCTTGGTCGGCCTGCCCCGGGCACTTGTGAGGAGCCACCCACAGCTAAGCTCCCCGCTTCCCATTCTGCCCCGTGGATTCTCAGGCTGCTGCCCCCCCAGGCGAGCAGAACCTGTCCCAGGGACCCCCAAACAGTCAGGCGTAAGGAGAGAGCGAGGGCGTGGGCTCGTGGTTCCGTCGCGATGTCCGTCAGCCGCACGCGGGGACCGGGAGCCACGCGCCCCTCGCGTGACATGCGGAGGCAGATCCGGGCGTGGTGAGGCTCCGACTTCGGCATGTCGGGACTTGGGGCGCGGGGCTGTTCCGGGTGAGGAGCTGTGTGATGAGGACGGCGACACTGCTCCGAGACACGTGGCCGGCATGAGCCACGGCAGCAGCTCAGTTCAGTGGTCGGAAAGGGTCGTGCCCCGAGCTCCCACGGCTTCACGTCCCCGAGCGGGAGGGGCTTGGACACCCGAGTCCCCTCTCCCAGGGACTCTGCTCCCGCTGGTCCACGCGTGGGCTTCGGCTTCGGTCACATTTAAGACCATCGTTTCTCATAAATCACAGAATAAGCCTGTGCTCCCCAAACACCGATCATCTCAGGGTTTTAAAAATACCACCGCCCGAGTCCCCACCGCCCAGAGGCTGGGGGTGAGGTGACCTGTGTGTGGCCGGGGCCTCCACGGCTTCTGCGGAAAAATCGGGCCCGAAAGGCCAGCTCGTTGAAGGAGGGGCGGCTCCTGGACAGTGGAAGCTGAGACCAGCTGTCGGCTTGTCCTTTTTAAAGAGGATGGATGCAGCTTAGGCCGTAGTCGGTGCGGTCAAGCGTTTGGACGGTGGCTGTCACCTGGACGCGGGGAGCCTCGGATTGTGGGACTCGACGGGTCTCGGATTGCTCGACGCGACAAATAACAAGTCGTTAAAAAATGAAACAACATCACTTCAGCGATAGGGAGAGAAAAGCCAGCGGCCGACCGGGCGGGAAGACGGGGGAGGGACACGGGCCAGGGACACAGGCCAGGGACACGGGCCAGGCCGGAAGTGACCGGAGCTTGGCCCACGCTCTCCCGGCTTTCTCGTGGACTCTGCTGGACATCGCGTCCAGGGGGACACACCGTCGGTCCCGTCCGGGGCTGACAGCTGTGGTCAGCGTGGCACCCGGGCAGGCAGTCCAGCCAGGAGGTGCAGGCTGGGGACGGCCAGGAGGGCGCGGGCCGTGCAGAATCGTGGGTGGGGGGGACCCCATTCCCTCCCCCACGCGATGTGTCCATACGATGTGTACGTTCTTCCCTGAGTTCCCGGACACACCCCATCGACTTGTCCTCCTTGGTTTTGTGTCTATGTTAGTTTATTATTATTTATCTTTTTATTTTAAGATTAGGCAGAAAACCGGACCCAACGCACGCGGGCTCAGTGAGTTAGGGCAGTGCGGCCAGTGCCCGAGAAACAGCCAGCAGGCAGAGAGCAGAACGGGGCGGTGGCCCCGGGGCCGGCCCCGGGGCG